GAACCTTGCAATACAGTTCAAGTTGTTGGACATTTGGAGAAGGAACCAGATAATGAAAGATATCTCACCCTCTGTCTCTGTCACACTGCCTTCCAAATAAATACATGTGCGTACTTGCTTTTACAGAAATATATAAAAAAACATATCTTGCCTGACTACTGCCAGGTGCATGCTCAGTGAATATTCATTGAGTAACTTAGTTTTATAGTCATCTACATGTGAATGTACATATATATATATATATATATATATATATATACAGACACACACACACACATACTGAGAAACTTACATATCATTTGTAATATACAGGCTTCAGAAATTCACATAATAATTATTCTTATTTCTTTATCTGTGGTGTTTGTAAATACCTTACATGTATTCTTTTAAACCACATTGTTGGTATTTTGCCAAAACTGAAGAAAAAAGTTAACATTTCAAGTTAAAAAAAGGCTCTTCCAATCAAGGTATTTTAATGTGGGGCATGCCTAACAACTATTATTTTAGATATTTAAAAAGTTATTTTTAAAGACCCTCATAAATGAAAAGAAATATAATTTTATTTATATAATTGTGATTCCAAACATCTGAAGTTCAAAGTTCAGAGTTCACACTGACACTAGAGTTCAGTTTTATTTTGACTGGATGAGCCTGATATTGTCTGGCATCCAAATAGGAAGATGTTTTACTGTAGTGTGATCACGTTGTTTTATGATTAAACACAGGGTATATAGCAGGAGAAACAGTAGCTATTAAAAACAAGATTACAAACTTCTTATCAGGAATGCATGTTAATCTTTCAAAAAGTAAGCAAGGTAAAACAATCATAATAATTTATTACTTGCTTGTAATTCTCAAGAATTCACAATAATCAACAAAAGGTAAATTACAGATCTTGTAAAAAATACTGCCAAATTCATTTCATGAAGATTTGTGAAGTAATTTTGCATGTTTAGCTCACTTGCTTTGTAGAATGAATTTTTGTTTTCAATGGCACTTTCAGTACTTTACTTTTTATCAGTTAGCTTACAGAGCTATTATGAATACCTGCAATTATCCATCTTGTTTTAAATTTATAACTTCCATTCATTAACTGCTATTATTTTTAAGGAAATCTGAACATAATATCCTTTTTTACCTTAAATTTCATTGTGTATCTCTATAATAAATCATAAGCACGATATCATTATTATTACATAAATACTTCTATTACTTTTGTGAAATATAAGCTTTATATATTATCTTGTTTTTTCTCCTTAGAACTTTTTAAACCACAATGAGTGAGTTTTTCAATAAAGTTTTCCAAGTTTTTCCTTGAATTTCTGTATTGCTGAGACCTAAGTAGATTACTTTTGATATTGAGGCTTAGTGATATGCAATTTTCTCTTCTTTCACACAGAAACATGTTGCACTGTGATTTTTTGATATTCATAAATCTCCGTGCATGAATCTGTTAACATTAATAATTTCAAAATTATGATATTCTACTTATAGTCCCATTTCATGGTTAGCAAGAGTAATTCTAAAAAGAGAATCATTTTTTCAATGTTTGATTACACTGTAAAAAAAGACATATTAAAAATAGTGGACAGGCCTGGCGCAGTGGCCTAAATGCTAAAGACCTCGCCTTGAACACACCAGGATCCCATATGGGCATCAGATCTAAACGCAGCAGCCCAACTTCCCATCCAGCTCCCTGCTTGTGGTCTGGGAAAGCAGCTGAGGACAGCCCAGTGCCTTGAGATCCTGCACCCATGTGGGAGAGCCGGAAGAAGTTCCTGGCTCCTGGCTTCAGATTGGCTCAGCTCCTGCCATTGCAATCACTTAAGGAATGAATCATTGGACAGAAGATCTTCCTCTGTCTCTCCTCCTCTCTGTATAACTGCCTTTCCAATAAAAATAAATAAATCTTTTAAAAATGGCGGATAAATGATCAGTTTATAAGTATTGTCCAACAATGACAATTTGCTTAAGATTTTTATAAATTTTAAAATTAAGGTTAATTTTAAATTAATGTTACTAATTTTATTGTCATAAAATTAAATAGATTTTATTTCGTTGTATTATATTCTCCTTATTGATAATTAAATTGTCTTTAGCTAATATAGAGCTGTCTCAAGTTTGCTCATAAGGCCTCTCTGAACACCTTCTTACAGTTTCTTGCCATCTGTTTTGACCAGATATTCCTGGCTAATCTTATACAATTCTTGTCCAAGATCTGTAATCAGCCATATATTCATGGAATCATTTATTATTAGTAGGAAATAGTGCTTGGAAGCCACAGTTCAAATACTCATTTATTTCATTGCTACTGAGTCTTCTACTTTCTTTTAAAGAAAGAATGAAAAGACTATAAGGGTTAAAAATTAAGAGGAAAGTAAGGAGCTACAAAGTACTAGCTAACTAGGGTTATAAGATCAGATATGTATCTCAAAGGGTAGGAACTTGGATTTTATTGCCCTTGGAAGGATTGATGATAAGACCACTTTAGGGTGGGAATTGATCTACATATAGCCATAACATAGAAAGATTGCCTTTTCAATGAAAAAGAGTCTAGAAAAAAAGAATATGTATGGGTTCAGAGTATTGACAAGGAAGTTTATCTCTCACTGAGACTGGGGCAGGAGGTGGGGTGGTGGGAATTTTCATGAGAAAATAAAGGGCTCATTCTGCTTCATGTGGGAATTAGAACCCCAATGACTGAATTCTCCTGGCAAAAATCTAAGCTAAGACATTAATATCTAATTTTTCCCAAGATGAGTAAAGCCTTTGTGTTACATAGCAAGAGAAAATGCAAAGCCCATTTAGCAATTTTTTCACATATACATATGTCAACACCCAAAAAATGAATCTTGCTAAAGATAGACGTAGTGAAAATCTGCTTAACTCATAGGAAAGCATTCTATCATAAAGAGTAATTTAAGAGATTGGGCCATCACTAACTTGAGGAAATAAGAAAATTTAAGAGTATAAAATATGTGTGTTTTTAAGATTTATTATTTTTCATTACAAAGTCAGATATACAGGGAGGAGGAGAGAGAGAGAGGAAGATACTCTGTCCGATGATTCACTCCCCAAGTGAGTGCATTGGCCAGTGCTGTGCTGACCCAGAGCCAGGAACTTCCAGGTCTCCTACATGGGTGCAGGGCCCCAAGACCTTGGGCCGTCCTCAACTGCCTTCCCAGGCCGCAAGGAGGAAGATGGATGGGAAGTGGAGCTGCCAGGATTAGAACCGGCGCCCATATGGGATCCTGGCATGTTAAAGGTGAGGACTTTAGCCGTTACGCCACAGTGCCGGACCCAAAATATGTGTGTTTTTACAGAAAAATCATTGAAAGGACATATTTTTTAAAGACACCATAGAAAATTGGAAAAAGAATATAACAGAATATTTAGACTTGAAAATGATAGTCATGAAATTAAAATGTTAGTGTAAAAGGAACACTAGACACAGCTCAAATAGAATTACCTTTCATGATTCAGTAATGATGGATATTTGTAGTTCACACACATATCAAGATTTGAAAATATGCAAGATAAAATATTTGAAAAGGAAAAAGGAGTCTTTACATTTGAATATCTCTCTTAATAGTTCTTTATCAAAATCAGTTGAGCATGTAGAGAATAATTTTAGTAGAGGATATCTCTGTTAGATTGTGAGGCTGACTGTCATGTCTTACTCATTTTCGTGATGCATGATTTGTATCTTCATTAAGTGTATTACATTTTTATTTCATTATGAACAAGTATTTTAAGTATTATTGGCTAAAAAGGAGACATTTTAATCTATAAATCATATACCCCCTGTAATACAAGCCAAATAGTATGTTTCACTAAAAGTTCATATAATTAAAAAAAAAGTGATTGGTGAATCAAGTTGTCATAGGACACATGGTTGAATGGACATGACGATGTAAAGGGACCTGGTCGCTGAATCAGTCAAAAGGTAAACAGAGAGTCAGATTACTTGATACCAAAATAAGCTTTTCTTCTGATTAAATTTTTATGAATTTTATGATGTATCTGTAGCTTTAGCAAAATTATTAATATTATCTTCTAGATTAAATTTATATAATTTCAGATGTCTTGATTTGTTGTCCTTGTTTGAAAATTCTTTTTGATTTTGTAATTGTACATACAGTACATATAATTAATTTGATAATTGTGCATATACATCCTATGACCTGGGTTAGTATCAAGAGTCTGATAAGACTTTCTTTGAAAAGGATTTGTGTATTATTCAAGTCTTGAAATTGTGATACAGACTACATAATCAATGTTCAGATCGCAGTAAATACCAATTTGAAATGTAGCTGCATCTTGATTGTATTGTAATGACTCTTGATTTTGATTCATTATGACAACTAATCATTTGTCAATAATCTGTAAAGATCTTTACAAAAGTTTTTCCAGATCTGTAATCAGTATGTGCATTCATTATTATTTAAGTATTGTAAAATTAAGTAAGTTGAGGAGTAATGTTTTTAAATTTTGAGATTAGTACTTCATTCTTTTAACCAACCCCCCCCAGTTTCTTCATATTGTCCTGATTTGCAGAATATCTGACACTATAAATACAGTGTAAAGTATTACAAATCTGAAGTATCTCAATATTGTATAGTTTGATCTTACAAGTGAGTAAAAATGGATCCTAGAGTGTCATAGATAAAACACAACCAAGAGATATGTTTATGAATGGAACCATTTATAAGTAAAGCAAGTGGTTTTTAATGTAATCTGACCTTAATTTCATAAGATGTACATTTTTATTATATTTAGATTAATAAAAGACTAGCTGAAAATGTAGGTGAATTGCCAGAGTCCTATGATCAGTGTTTTTTGTTTTCAATTAGTTTAGTTTAACTCATCATTCTCTCTGCAAAATAACAAAACATTCTTGTGCTTTAGAGACTACAATGGTATTATGTACATTAATTCATGTAGCTTGGGAGAAAAATGCTATAACTCCTTTACTTAATGGGATTCTTCCCCCGTGGCAGTGCAAACGGCTAGAGCAGGAGCTTCATCATCTGAAAGAGCAGAACCAGACTTCAGCAAACAACATGAGACATCTGACTGCTGAAAACAATCAAGAACGTGCTCTGAAGGTAAATCTCCATTCCTTCTTGCAGGCAAATTAAGGTTGTAAGCCCTTGGTGCCAGCTTTCGGGGCTGCATATATCAGTTGTGTACATTTCAGCAGAAGTGAGCTGTGCTGTTTGCCAACAACCCCTTCTTTAAACACAGATACAGCACCCTTCTGTTATGGTATTATTTTATTTCATGTATGCGTACATGAAAACAACATATTTTCTGAATTTTGAGTGGTGATATATTAATAAATTTGGGTACTTGTGCATTCTTTTTTTTTTTTTTTGCTTTTTTATTATTTACCTTTTGTGGTTGATAAATGTGACCACTCCAAAAGAAAAAGTAAAAAAATAATTAAATCATGGGCCTTCTCATTGCATTGATATTTATTGTGATGATTTTTAAAGTGATTTGTATTATTAAAAAACCATAAAATCAACAGTACTTGAAAGATATATAAATATTTCAGACAATTGAAGGAATATTTAGAGTATTACAACAAAAGCAAAAGATGGATTACAGATTTAATCAGTGCTTGAAAAAAGTGAGACATGCATTTCCTGAGATGTTCTCAGTGTAATGTAGGTCATTCCAATTTTCCAAATTATATGTGTTTTTGAAAATGCTTCTGATTTTCCATTTTGTTTGTCTTTGTCATGGTTCCCAGTGTGGTGCATGTGACACGGTGCGGTTCTTTACCCTCAGGCTGGTTGCATTCTCATTAACAGGTTAAGGAAGACAAAATCCATGTTGGGGAGGGGGGTAGAAAATATCATTCATTGCTTTTACTTTGTAGTAAGAAAAGATTTTTGTTCTAAGAATCTGTATAGTTTGTCATCACATGTCTGCTTGGCTGCAGATTATTGAAAAATATGAAAGTGTTATCAAGCTAGCCTACTAAGCCAGAGTTGAGAAAAATAGTGACATTTTGAGGTGGAAAATATTTTCAGTGTATTCAATAAATATTTCGTGGTTTAGTGGTAAGTCAAATATTTCTGCAAACTATATTTAGCTTCATGTTGAAATTCTTAGTGTTGCATGTATAAAAGATTTTTAATATTGCCTAATGCATTCATGTATTTTGTGTTGAATTTATAGATAGGCCAGGAAGATACATAGAAAAGAAAATAATTATAGTTTATGGTAATTATTTTGAGTTCCCCTCAGGACTTTATTGCTTGATAAAAACAAAGCATAATAATTTATTAAACATAGGCCTGCAAATGTTAAACAGCACTGTTTTAAAGGAAACTTCTATAATGTATGCTAATTTATTATCATATTAGGGAACATTTCATGTGTTCAATATGATTCTCTAAAAATAAGATTGAAAATGAAAATTCCAATTTGTTAAATATGTAGAATTGGTATAACCCTTTTTTCCTGGCATTTTAAGTTATGTATTTAAGTTATATTTAATTTAATAAACATTGATAATTATTAGAAGCATATGTAGATTTATAAAATGTTATTAAAATTAGAAGGAAATAGTAGACCAAAAGAGATTAGGAAGTTCAAAACAAAAAGCAAACATGTGTAAAATAAAAATCTTTGTAAACTCCAGACAGAATAATTCAAAGCAATATATAAGCATTAACTGCTTAATATATTTTCCATTTGTTCATAATTTGTGTAAGAAACTCAATTTCCAATGTCTTTCAATTCTTTACAACTTCATCTATTCAGTAAGGCAGCTTAGTTCTTAGAAGAGGAATAGCAAAATGAAGAATTTGTAAAAACTTGCCAATCAAGTCATTCTTAAATTCCATATACATTTAAGCTCTTTTAAAAAGTATTTTTGTTGGAATTTTGCTTTGTGACTCAGTGGGTTAGGCTACCACCTTCTATGACAGCATCCCACATGGACACTGATTTAAATCCCAGACTCTACACTTCTCATTGACCTCCTGCTATTTGAAGTCACTATGTACTGTGCATAATAAGCCATTCAAGCTATCTGGGTAATGTTATCTCCTTTTATTGTTAACTTTTACAACTCATGAACATGTATCAAATTTTGTTTGTGAACTGATTACATATTTGGCTAGTGTCTAAATGAGTCTTTGGAATTTGCTTTGTAATTTTGTTTGTTTTGTTTATTTGAAAGCAGGACAAGACAGACATACAGATTGTATATCTCTCTTCTGGTTCACGCCCCAGGCTGGAAGCTGGGAATTCAGTTCAGGTTTCCCCCAGTGGATGGCAAGGAACTAATTACCAGAGCTTTCAACTTCTGTCTCCCAGGTTTTCTATTAATAAGAACCTGGAACTGGGAGCTAGAGCCTGGTCTCAAACCCAGGCCCTCAGAAGATGGGTACAGGCCTGTCAGGTGAAATGTCCACCCCTCTAATTTGTGTTTTATCTAAGAGGAGATTACAGTTTTGGTATCGTTTATAAACATTGTTTTTGGAGTAGCATGGAATTAAAAAGCACTAGCCATAGCACTGTTTCTCTTATTTCTGTGTTTATTTTTCTCAACTGAAAAATAAAGCACAATATTGCTTATAGGGTAAGGGACTGAATTATTTTGTTCCTAGTATGTAGTCTGAAAGTTTTAAATTTTTAAAAAAATTTCATTTGAAAATTTTTGCTTCCATTCAGAAGTTGGAGACTTTATATTTTCTAAATAAATTTAGATCTATCACAAATGTGCAAACATCAAATCTCATATACATTGCTTCTCTTTCCTTTTCATTGTAAAATTTATCCTCTTATTGCTCACAGTCTGCCACATTTATAGTTCTCCAATGTAACTCCAATGAAAATTATTTTTTCTTAGACTATTGGCAAGTTCTGATAGTTATAAGCCTATAATACATATTATTTGTAAAGTATAATACATTTCCACTATGTCCCAAATCTTCTGTATTCTATTTATTCCTCCAAACTTCCTTTTTATTGACTCTCCATGGTCCTATTAATAATACAGCTTGTTTTGCGCCATATCCTCATCAAATGTCTTTTTGTAAAAAAAAATAATAAGTATTTATTTATTGGAATGGCAAAATTGCCAAGAGAGGAAGAGAGAAAGACAGAGGGAGATCTTCCTTCTGCTGCGGTACTCCCCAGATGGCTGCAATGGCCAAAACAAGGAGCCTGGAACTCCAGCAAAGTTCCTATGTGGATGACTAGAACTCAAACACTTGGGTCATCTCCTGCTTTCCCTTGCTTATTATCAGCGACCTGGATCATCAGTCATAGGCACTTGTAACATGAACCAGCATCCCTACGGGATGCCAATATCACAAGCCATGGCTAAACAACGTGCCACAAGCCAGCTCCAGATACTCCTTTTATCGTTAGTCTGGTCTCAACTTTAACCATTCCCATAGCACTACCTAGTATTTATATTCTAATAGCTGTTATATTTTCCATAATTTCTGCCTAAAATCAGCAAATTTGAAAGCAAATGTCCGATTTGTAAGCGACCACTGTATAATTCAACATTCATTTCCAGTCAAAATCTGCTTTTGATGTTGAAGCTGAAAAAGTTCAATACTTAGTCAGCCTCTTGTTGTTGTTTGTTTATTTGGTGAGACATAATAGACTCTACAACAGGGATGGAAGACAAAGGAGGAATGCTGTCTCTGGAAAAGATTTTGTTTCCCTATTACAAGGGTGGGTGAACAAGTACCATTCCTTATTTGCTTCATATTAACGTTGCACGTTTACTTGCCATGTAGAACTGAAGTAGCCACTTTACAGTTAGGAAAAAAGATAAAGAAAAATTCTAGCATTATTGAGCCCCTTACCCAGTGACCTCCTGGAAGGTTAAGCATATGTGTCCTCACTTCATTTTCTGGAAAGACAATATACTTGAAGTAATTCTTAATAGTGTTCTATTATTAAATACCAAAATGACCCATTAACATCTATTAATTAATAATAGTACTACCTTCACAAACATAGGCTAAAAATAATTGTTATAGTTTTCTATCATTTCAAGCTCTCACCTACCAAGCAGTCAGCATCCAGTGCTGTCACTTATGCAGTAGTTCTTCCTTTCCTATTTCCCCCTAATTTTATTCTTTGCCTTATGTGAAAGTCATGATCTAGGCAATAAAAAGACTCTCCTAATTTTCAGCCCTCAATTTCCCATCTTTTTAATCATTTGTGACACTGTCATCATCTGTCATTCTAAAATAGGTGTTATTTTCTGCTCAGAAACCTTCACTAAACACAGCATTATTAATAGTATAAGATAGTATAAATGTCCTGAATTATCTTTCCAATAAAAGTAATTAAAAGGGCCCAGCGCAGTGACGCAAGTGGTTAAGGTCCTCGCCTTGCACACCCGGGATCCCATATGGGCGCCGGTTCTATCCCGGCAGCCCCGCTTCCCTTCCAGCTCCCTGCCTGTGGCCCGGGAAGGCAGTGGAGGACGGCCCAAAGCTTTGGGACCCTGCACCCGCGTGGGAGACCTGGAAGAGTCTCCTGGTTTCGGATCGGCATAGCATCGGCCGTTGTGCTCACTTGGGGAGTGAATCATCGGACAGAAGAGCTTCCTCTCTGTCTCTCCTCTCTGTATATCCGCCTTTCCAATTAAAAAAAAAAAAGTAATTAAAAGGTAGAGGTAAACTTTGTACTTTAAAAATATTCTGAAACGTTAATTGGGAGGTAAGAAAATAGGGAATTCGCAAAGATTTCAAACAAAGTGGAAATGGGAAAGAATAGACAAGAAGTGATTGCCTAGAGCTCTTTCACCCTGAGTGAATTTGTCAAACTTGATGAATTTGAGCTTCTACTTTAAAGACTTCAGGGGCTAGGTAGAGCAAATAGGGTGCAATAGAGCAAAGAGCCCATCTGTGACAAGAAGTATCATGGGAGACACTCCAAAAATTAATTTCATGAAGACCGCATCATTCGTATTAGAATGAACAAGAGGCAAGCTCTTCAAAATAAGAAAACAAGGGAATGTGACATGACTGTGATAGTAGGGGAGAAGTGTGACAGTTTGCTATCTGCAGCCTGCTTTCTGGTAGTGCAGTACTATGTTGGTAGCATGAATTCTTGATAA